AAGAAACACACAGTGGCTTTAAAATATATCCTTTTTTTTTTTCAAAGTAAACAGCTTCTTTCGAAAACATCACAGCTATTTCACCCTCCAACTTTGTCAGATGACAAAGAATTTATTTTCTTTTTTTCCCAAGCTTTTTAGTCCCAGCNNNACCACCTCATACTTAGATAGCTCCATAAAAGACACCTGGCAGTTAAGAGTTGATGCCAGAAAGTCCTTATCCCTCCCGGTTTGCCTGGCTAGACACCCCCCTGAGTTCATTGGATAGACTATGGGAGGGCGAGTCACCTGCAGGGCTTCTGAAAGAATAAGGCAGAACGAGTTCAATGAAAACGACAAACTCTTATCAGGGTTTGGCCTGGAGGGATAGAAACAAACTCACAAAGAAAGGATCTTTTTCACGGTGAATCTGTTTGCCGCCTTTTGTTTTTACAGGCCGAATAACAATTATCTCAAATAGAAGCAGCAAAAACATAAAACCTCATTTATCTGGTGGCATAATCCTACCAAAAAACAACAGGCAGCGGCAAATACTCATCCCAGGTATTTGTATTTTGTTCTATCTCTGCGCCCTGCTTATACATCCATGTGTACAGTGTGCCTGTATGGTGGACAGATTTTGGCCGTGTGGGTCTGCAGTGCTGTCTGCATCTCTGCTATCACGGTGTAATTGGTTTGCACCCTCATAAATAAATAAATGGGAAGTGATTCTCATGTTAGGCAAACAAAACAATCTTGCAGAAGTACTCCCTGCGCAGATGGAATCAAGGGAGAAGTGGAGTGTCAACATTTGCTTGTGCTCTCTGCGTGAACGGTGGAGATTTAATTGGCTACACAAACATAGGGTCATCTTGGCCATCTCTCAACTAAACAACTGTCGATCGGGGGAAGAAAAAAGGTCCTTTTTGCAAAGATTCAGACATTCATAAAAAATCATATTTGCTTGAAAAAAAACAAAAAAAAAAACACTTGATGTGAATGTGAAGAAATAGAGAAATAGAAAATACAGTACATCCATACACATGAACCCCACAAGAGAAAAATAAAACATCACAAGGGCACACGGTACAATAGCACAAAGGGTTAAAGGCCACTTCCAGTTATAATCAACCAACCAGTCAGCACGTCAGTTACATTATGTACAACAGGTACCAGCCAAGAAAGGCATTGTTTTACCGCACTCCACAGACTGCCAATATACAATATACAGTATATATATATATATATAAAAGGAGGGCAGAATATAAAGATAGAGTTTAGAGATATCAATCAACGCCACGTCATGCAACGCAGTCACAGTCCCACCACATGACGTCATCCAAAAGAAAATGACACCATGGGTTCAACTTACAGCTGTGGGAACTTGGCCCCATGACAGGTGTGGGGGGGTGTGGCTATAGCGGAGAAAGGCCACCTCACACTGTGATTGGCCATGTCAGGTTGCCAGGTTGGTGGGGGTGCAAAAGAAGGAAAGAAACAGTGGGATTTTCTTTTCCTTAAGTCAGAATTCAAAGCACCCTTTCCATATTTGTTTCACACTCTCACTTACTCTGCCTGACAAGTCAAATGAGGTTATTATGGTCATTACCATAAAAACTGAAAAAAAGAATTGACAAGTAAAACAGAAATAACAGAGCAATAATCTTCAACCCAGCACAAAAAGGCCCTTTCTTTGTGCCTCAGTGTGGTGGTGAAATATTCTTAGGCTGACAACATTTGCAGGTTAAAAGGTTGAATTGATGTTTTTATATTTACAAAGATAACCCTTAAGGCAGAAATGCATATTTCAGAAACATGTCCTGTCTACAGTAATTGGATTTGCCTTGCATTGTTTGCTATGAGGGTGGCCGTACAGTGAGTGCTTCAGCTTTTCTGCATTAAGTTTATCTTTAAGACACAGAACGCAATTTCAGAGTAGAAGGGCTCCTGAGACCAGCAGAAGAGAATGCTGTCTGATCGTGTTTTTAATTCAACTTCAAAGCGGAATCGTCAGTATTATAGAAAAAAGAGGGGGCCTCTGAAGTTATCTTCATATTGAAGTTTTTACTCAAGAAACACCAAAAAAATGAATCATTCAAGTTTCATCAAAGTTTTTCATCGTCAGAATGTAGTTGAATTTAGAAAATTAAACAGTTACAGTTGAACTTTACTTATTCTTAGTATTTTGCTCAAGAACTCAATGTACTGTCTGTCGCAATACAAGGCAATAAATGAAAAGAAAGAAATTAGAAGTAGATTGGTAATTTCTTTCAAATATAACTCCTTTACATAAGATCCCTCATGATTTTCAAGAAACTATAAACCAGGAGCTGGCTTCAGAAGCCCTAGCGTTTTTTTCTTTAATATTTTCATGGGATTGCTCTTGGTTTTGGTCTATTGGGTTTCCTTAACTCAACAACAGAAGTGATGTAATAACAGAAGAAAAATACAGAGATGGATTGAACCAGACCAGAGACGAGGGAGGACATGAAAACACACACACACACACACACACGTGTGCACCGACATGCACGCACACACACACACACACGCACCTCCTGAAAGATGACAGAAATGTTATTGTGGAAAATGTCTGTACTTGAAGACATTCTAAGTACATCTCAATGACTGCTCTGTCATTCAATGCTGTTGCAGGATATTTTCCATTTGTCCCTCATTGATGTGCTAAATCAACCCCCCACCCCCCTTTCTCAGGTTGTCTGCTTTGAAAACCTCTCTTCAATTAGCAGGGCACAGCTCTATTCAAATGCTATCAGGCAAAGGATAAAGGGAGCATGTATTGCATACTATCTTCCATTAATGCCATCTTGTGGCTTTTAAAGAGTCAAATCTAAAACAAACAAATGGTATTACCATGCTTTTATTTGTGGAGGAATATAATCCAGGTTTATGTTATTGTAATGAAAAGTTGCCCAGCCAATTGGGCAACGAGAGCATTCATCTATATTATTTTGCACTGGCAGCTGCACTTTTTAACAGATGGGCGAGGATTCTTTGAATCAAGCCTGACACTGTGAAATTAGTTGTTATTGAAGGATGGTGCTACTTCAAGTAAAGCATCTTTTTATTATTTTGTATGAAAGCTATGACTTTCTAAGAGCCAAAACAAGGAACTGTTGGCTGTTGAAGTTATCTGGTGACAGATACGTATCCTATCAGCACGTAAAGCAAGTAGATAACCATACACTTGTGAAATCTCTTGTTTTCTGCACTATGTGAGTGCATCCTTTAAATGTTAACAGCAGATACATTTGGGCATAGTTCACATCTATTCCAAAATAGATATGCTTGATTTCAGGAGGTTTAACTCAAATTTGTTCATTATTAATTAACACTGTTATGGATGTGTTAACACTGGCATAGTTTAACACATTCGCAACATGAATGTTAATTTTACATTTAGATTTTATTGCATTTTAAAAATGCTATTTATTAACACTGAAAGTTTTGCTATGTACATTTCTATTTATTTATTTTAATGCCTGATAAAATCATAAGCAGTCAAAGCATTCTGTGCTACTTTGCTACAGGGTTACAGTTAATCCAAATAAGATATGAGGACATGCTCATATGTAGAACCAATGTTCTCATGTGAAAAATGTGTAAAACTGAATAACCAAGGTAACACAAAACTAACACAGTCCTATGCTGTGTTTTTACTATTTTGCAAGCAAAGAATGACAGGATATGAAAATGGACTGTGACTGTTTTGGTTGAGAACAGATTTAAGCGTCACTTGAACTAACCAAATGGTGCTTGCTGGGATTGGTGCTGTTCTCCACCATTAAACAAGCTACTGCAGTTTGTAGGGTGAGTAAGTGCTTTTCCATTAGGCATCTTTTTGTTTATTTTATTACTTTCAGCACAAACTTTTCTCTCAAACATTCTGCATTTACTCATTGCGCTCATTAGTAGTCTTGTAAAAAGTTGTTATACTATGAATCTACTCTGTATTATTATGCATCTCCTCACTGAATGTACCTATAAGTAAAGGTTCAACTGAAAGGAGAAGTCTAATGCTGAACTATTTTTGGAGAGAAATTACTGCTATCTGGTTTTATAAATTTGTCGCTTAACAACTGACATCGATACGCCATCCTCAGTAGACGGGTAATTATGCACAGCTGGGTATTGATGATGTCATCAATTTGCACTAGAGCATCCTGCAGGTACAAATTAGATTTCAAACCCCAGAAGAAACAAAAACAAATCAGTAGAGCAGGACAACCTGACAAAAATCTCAAGAGCCTGACTCTGTGAAGAGGGTTTGTGCAATGGAAAAATTAGCGCCCTGACTCTTTCACGGCTAATATGTTACAAAATAACACACGCTGACCTGAAAAAAAAACCCAATTTCATGTCCTATCAGGTGTCATGGGAACAAAGTCAGATAGTGACTGCAGAATTAGAATTTGAACTAGTTCCCCTAGTTGACCACATTTGCTACTAAACTAGGTGATTCATGAATTTTGTAATTGTATTAGTCTGTCATACTGATAAATATGCAAATTTCAAGTATTATGAAAATGATGGGTTGTGTGGTTTTTTTCTGGTTTGAAGACTGGAATGTTGGTGAAGTTCATTTTCCTCTTTGTCCTACACTAATCACCTCCTGGGAAACAGAAGTTCAAACTTTAAAAAAGTTGCCATTTATTTCTATGGGGGTCAGAATTAATCAGTTGTGAGAGAATCAGTTATTAATGGTTGGATACAACTCTTATTCTTACAGTTTTAGTTTATTTTCCAAACTGTAAATCTACAGTCTTATTTTATTTTATAATGTTTAATCACTTCAATGAAAAACTAAAGGGTCAATAAAACTAAAGGGAAAACATCTAACATAGATTTTTTGGTTTTGATTTGAGACATTCTTACCTACTGCAACATAAATAACTAAACTATCCAAGTTAAGTGGACCGAGAACAGGCATGGCATGGCATGGCATGGCATGGCATATTATGGCAGGGTGAGTTATGGCATGGATGTTACTATACCTGGGTATGGACAGCAGACGAGTCAGTAAGGTCGGTTGGCATCCTTTGGCCGCTTTAGCTGCACCTTCAGCCTCTTCATGCCTATCTGAAAGCCGTTCATGGCCTGGATAGCGGCTTGAGCACTGGACGGGTTATCAAAACTCACAAAGCCTGAGACAAGAACACAGAATGGAAGAGAGGTGGGGGTAGAGAAAAATGGGGAAAATAAAGAAATAACACATGAAGGGAGACGAATGGGGAGAGATGAGAGAAACAGGAAGAAGAAAAAGGGAGAGGGAAACAGAAAGGGAGAAAAGACAGGCGAGATCAGAGAAAAAAGAGGGGAGAAGAAGACCCTTTTAAATCTCAACAATGACACAACAATAGCTCTTTGTTTTCTTTTTTCAGCAGATTAATTGAAAATCTTTGAATTAAAAAGATTACATAAAATACTACAAAGGCTAATAACACAGATATTAAAAATCAAAGGAAGATGAGCTGTTAGAAACCGTGAGTTTAAACTTGAACAGAGCACAAAAAAAAACATGAAAAGGTGTTCAAAGATTAGAGAGGAAAAGGGAATCTCATGTTGTGTGTGGAAATTTTGGAGCAAAGCGATGTCTGTAAATGTTACCAGTGTTTGAGTCACACAAGAGTGGCAGGGCTCTGGGTGTGTATTTCCATGTACGTGTGTGACTGAGCGTGTATCTGAGTAAAGAGTAAAGGGCATGGGGGTCGTGACGAGATGCTAGGAGCAAGGTGTGTAGGACGGAGGTGCCTGCTGCTCTGAGTTATCACCTGGGTGTCGAGGCGGAATGAGCCCACAGCTTTCCACACCGGGACTCCTTGCCTGCTCTTATCAGACACCTCTGTGATTGACGGCCCGAATTTTCCGCCTGCCAGCTGATTTGATCACACCGCTATGGGTCCAATTTAATTTGGGGGGAGAGGGCAGGCTTTTGTCAGTGCGGGTGAGATAAGGCTGCTGCTTTTACAAACCCTTTAAACAAACTGAGCAGGGAAGGGCCTGTCAGTTGGCAGTGATCCCCCTCCCAATCCCACAAACACACACACACACTATCTCTGCCTTTAATGAATCTCCATACCTCACATTTACATCCACATGCCAAAAAGGTGATAGGATGCTAGGGGTCAAAGTACGGAAAAAAAGAGGACAAAGACTATGCTGCAAACTATTAAGTGCTTGAATCCGTGTACATTAAAACAATTGAAAAGCAGAATAAGATATTTGAACGTGTTTTCAGTTTTATCTGTCTTCTCGAGACAGAAGTAACTGGCTGATGTTTCATATCTTTGATGCAGCAGTGAGTGTGTGGTGCCGTGCAACTCAATACTCTCTGCTACTAGTGTTTGAGGTATGGCTCTCACCGCAGCCATCCATATCAGCAGAATGTCTGTACACATTGTAATGTTATGCATTTTTAATAAAAACACACAAAGTTACAAACGTTATTGGGTGACAGTGGGGAAAATGCAAGTGGAGGACAGCTGAGAATGCAGTGCAAGTCTCACAGTACAAGTCTCACATTGCCCTAAAAAAAGAGTTGTAGTGATGCTTTGCATGAATGCTGTTTGGTATTGTGAACGCCCCCCTTAGCATGTAGTCTAGGGGTGAGGTCCTGGTTCAGATACCTTCCCAGGCTGGGAAAAAACACGTCCCCTGCTTTGCTATAACTACCATATAACTTCCTTTTGAGCAAGTTTGTTGAACTGCTTAGTAGTAAACATAAGCTCCAGCAACACAAAATGTCAAGTTTTAATACATTTATATTAATACATTTATTGTTATGATTATTTTACATTTGCAAGTGTTGACTGGAGGTTTGTTTGTTCTTTTATAGAAACAATATGGCTCTACTTTGGCTGTTAAAATGTATTTTAAAGTGTTAAATTAACTGAGGATGGTGAATCTGTACAGAGTAAATATATGAAGGTGCTGCTGAAACAAATATGCACAGGCAACTTTCCCTGACCTGTAAGTGGGAAAAGAACAAAACAAGCAAAGCAACAAAAATACAACAGCAGAAAAAAGTGTATGATTTCAGAAGCCCTTCAAGTAAATTGCATCTCTTTGTGTATACTTTTTCTATCATATCTAAAAGGCAGTGGGCTTCCTGTTATAGCTATATGCGTGTGTGTGTGTGTGTATGTGTCATTCCACTGTCAGAAGACCTTTTGTAATTCATTTTCAAGCTAAATCCAGCTAATTCCACTTAACAAGGTAAGCTTTGATCACTTTTAAAAGTCAATATTAAGCGACTAAATGCAGAGGATTAAGACTAATGTTGTGTCCCAGGTTAAATTAAACACAACCATATAGCTCCTCAGCAGTGAATGTCTATGGGGTGTACACATTTTCCTTATGGATATTCAATATGTTTCAGTGACTCAATATTGCATTACTAACTAATAACACACACTATGTTAATACTTGTGTGATTTGTGCTTTCTTCTTTCTCTAAATTTTTTAGATTGCTTTGAAGTGAAATATTTAATAATTCTCTTAGACTTTTCTTCATCTCACCTGCACGAGTGTTTAATATCACATTGTGTCACATATTCATAACTATTTTATCACAGTGAAAATAAATGTACTAAATGGAAGTGACACCTGTCTGAACTGACAGTGATGCATCTCTTAAGAGTATGCTCCAAATTCTACTCCAGAAATACATCCTTTATAACAACATACTTCGAGTACTCATCCAGTGACCTTATCATCATATTGAAATCTCAATCAAGCTTCTCTGTAAACAGTCTCTGACACTGTCTGATTATCTCCTCTCAAAATCCCAAAATGTAGTTTGCATGTGCTGCAGAGATATCAGGACATGTACGCAGGGATGTTTCTGTTGAAACTCACAAGAATCATTCTGCTGTGCCCAGCAATTTGAACGAAGTAATTCATTCAAAATGTTTAATAATATTAATGAAATACCTAACATAATGTAGTATGTAAGACACTCTAATATGCTGCTTTTTAAAATATTGTGGATAAGTTAACTTTCACACAACAATTTTTAGAGAGTGTAAGCTGTTTCGATGTTTTTTTTTTTAAGAAAATAAAATAAAAAGTGGTGTGCTGTTCGAAGGACAGTGGGAAAATTAAAATCTTAGTTAACTTAATGCTGAAATACAAAATGGATTGTTGGCACATTATAAATATGAATAATTCACTTGTCTTACTGGTTATTTGTTTTGTCTTGTTTAAATACACACTGCAGTGCTTTGGAAATAATATTCTTCAACTAACAGTAAGGTCACTGACTTCATGTTCTAGTGTATAAAATGCTGCTTATTAGGTATTCATCATTGCAGTGCTTTACTGTAGATATTGGGAACATTGAGTATAGTGTGCAAGGCCACATTTGTAAATTTCTTACAATGAACAATTCCTTAGTCCATCTATCTATACATTTTTCGACATCTGTATAGAAATATGCATACAGTATATTTATACGTCTGTAAGTCTACAATTCCCATTAACCACATCATCAAGCCTAAACTCACACATTTTTAAGATGAAGCGTTCCAAGTTCTTGGAGGCCTAATAACTTATCCCCCTTAATGCACAGCATCTTCTGCCTAATTTGTTAATGTCTTACAAAGGAGCCCTGGGGCCTCGGCTATAAAAAGGAGGGAGAAATGAGTAAAAAAAAAAAAAAAAACCCACAAAAGAATCATGGGTTAAATTGCTGTTTTTCAGCCAAGATCTTAATTACTAGCCTTGAAAAATAAGCCGGTGAGACTGATGAGGTCACCGCCCCTTTGTCCTTCCCCCTTGTTGACTGACGGATAGTGATAGCGAGAGGCATATGTTTAGAGGAGAACACACAAAGGGGGGGAGAGAGAGAGAGAGAGAGAGACAGCCCTGAGATGGACAGAGTGAGACAGACGAGGGAAGAGAGGAAGCGAAAGCCTCATAGACATGCCATGTTGAGGAGAAACTGAAAGAAAGCCAATGCTGGGAGTCTCTCTCTCTGCCTGCCTGTCTCCTGGGTGCTGCTGTCCAACTGAATCAACAGCAAGGCCCACACCAGTCTATTATTATCTCTTTAAGCCCATGGATTCCACCTGCACCGCCTCCACCCTGATGAACTGGTTTGCTGTGTGGGAGGCGAGAAAAAAAGAGGGGAGGGCTGGCGGGATGTTGCCCGACTAGGGTTGGGGGGGACTTTTCTCTTGGGTAAAGGAAGCTGGGAATGGCAGAGAAGGTGAGATGGATACTGACTGTATTAGGAATGGTGTTATAGAGAGTGTGACGAATAGATCTGTGGCACAAATAGCAATTGTGGTTTTTGGGTCCTAACACAGTATTGGCTATATGAGGGATTTATGGTGGTGTGATTTTTGGCGATTAGAACGTCCACCTTCTTAAACCCCCCCCCCCCCCCCCACGTTTTTTGACTCACCGAAACATTTGCTCTGATTGGTCGCTCGGTCCACAAAGACTTTGGCAGAGATGACGTTGCCAAAAGGCAGGAACATTTGCATGAGCTCCGCATCTCCGAACTCCTGGGGCAGGTGATAAATAAACAGGTTGCAACCTTCTGGCCCTGGTGATGAGAGAAAGACAACAGGACGGTTACATGGTAGCGTAAACAGGGGATGCCCAGTGAGAGACAGACTGACCATAATAACATGGGTGGAAAATTGACTCAATAAAGCAATCAAGATAATAATACAAGGAATGCAGGAGCCCTGTAAACACTAGAATCTGATTGTGTCATCTGTGGCACTAATATTAGTTGTGTTAAACCTAAACCTATTGTGGCATGTGTGGAATCGTACGTTAAAATCATTTCTCAAATGTTATAGGTTTGCCCTTTTTGCAGTTTCCATTTGAATCCTCCCAAGAACCCAATTTCACGTAATAAGTGTATAGATAGGTGGCACTTTACTGAATCATATTATACAGTTAAATTTGACTGTTGTCTCAGAAAATGTGCTGGCAATAGCAGCG